TCCCTGTGTGCTTTCATCTCCATATTTTCATGTGATTTTTCATCTCCAAATCCCTCTGCCTGCCACATGCCACCTTCTCTCTGTTAATCAATTACACTTCTGATAATCTCTTATAACTCAACAGATATCACATCCTCCAGGAAGCTCCTTCTGATACCCTCCTGCCAAGCATCAGATTCACCATCTTCATCTTGGTATCCAGATAATGTATGGTCTTGAAAAATATTTACAGGATATGAGGTTATTCTTCATCTCAAACTGAATGTAAGGGAGATAAATTCTCATTAAAATAAAAACTATAGAAAGCAGATTTTACATGATTTTGAGCAGGTGACTTAGTGTCCCCGGGTCAGGACTGTGGTCCCTACTGAAATGACCTGACAGTGCAATCAGTCACATTCACTTTCACTATGCTCTAAGCAAAGGAGATGCTTTCTTAGGACTATTTCTTTAGGGTAGGAAAATCACCTGGTTATAAAGGCAACATTTCAATGATGGTGACTCCTAAAATCCACATCTCCTAACTTCCTGCTCTGCCTTCGTCTGGTTTAGTCTCTGCAGCTTCCTGTCAGCTGCTCCTAAGAGACACCAAGACAACACTTAAAAGCTAACACAGACTGTTTCCTCATCTATACAATGATGGCTAGGTCTCGGGACGTTTTTTCTAAGAAGTCACTTTGACTCATTTTTTGTCTTAACCTGGTTCCTCTGGGGAATTCCCCCGTCACTGAGCAGGGACACGGCAAGGTCTGTGCCGACAATCTGTAGTTATCATCCTGCCTCTGACAAGGGTGCTACAGGGAGGGCAGCGGACTTCAATGGATGCTTCAAAATGGGAGGACTATAGTGACACCCACACGTTCCCTGCAATGATAAAATGCAGAACTTCAACTTGTGAAATTTGCTCAAATAAGTATCACACTACCTTCTGGAGAAAGACATTCTTTCGTATGTCTTCTAAATTTACTTACCTGAAGCTTTAATTCTAATATTTCAAGATTCAGAAAAAAACTCATATAGAACCATTTAGCCCCTTAGAAACTCATAATTTTTGTAAAAGGTTAAAACAACTCTCTTGATGTTTAGGGTCTTGGTTACTTGATAACAACAACATGGGCCAAAATTCCATATTTGGCAAGATTTACCAAGAAACTTTAATAGTTTTTTTTTTGTTTTTTGTTTTTTGTTTTTTTGCTGTGCTATAGGAACTATCTGTGCTTTTATAAAGTTGTTCCCATAATTTTTCAATTGTTTACTCTAAGTGCTTATAGAGTCTTCAAATTTTACTATCACATCTATGAAAAATACTTCCTTCTATGAATCACCACCTACCAGGGTTCTGGAATATGAGGTTCTGGAATATGAGATGGTTTCCATCTCTTATTAATCCCAGCATGAGCACCTTCATTTTAAGCCTTGTCCGCAGCCTGAACTCACAAAGATACTTTCCACTGCGCCACTTGACAAAGCACCTGTCCCTGACACCAGGGGCTCTAGATGCTTCTGGAATACAGGGTAGCCTTTTGCAACATGAACAGCAGGGTCCTTCATAAACTGTTTCGGGGCAAATCCCTTCTTTCGTGATCCTTTTCATTCTACTGCCACCGTTCTAGTTAGGGCTTGTTTCTCAACTAACCAATTTCAATCACAATATGGCATGCTGGTTAGGAGTTAGGTTCAAGCTTCATACCATTTCCAAGGCCCTGGAAAATTATTTAACCTGGCTTTTGTTTCCTCCTTGTTAAACTGGAGTCACCAACAGTCCTCACCTTGAACAACTGTTATAAGGATTAAATGAGGTGGTTCCTATAAAGTACCTGGCACAGTGCCTCGGACAAAGCAAGTCTTACATAAATACTATTATTGTTGTCATTTTCAGTAGCTTCCTAACTGGTCTTCTGCCAGTCACTACTCTCTAGTAATCTGTATTCTATGATACTCCTACTTCCATGCAACTCCTAGGACAGTCTATCTTGATTATAAAATACACCTCCACCACAGAACATTTCAGAAAACGTGAAGGAAAAGTCACCCATAGACTGACCACAGAAACAATCAGCTAACATAGTCGCTTCTATTTTCCCAATTTTTAAAATTAGCTAAGATAATCATTGATACTCTACTCATTTCTGTTTCCACCCAGCCTTTCCCTATAATTTAAACACTTACCATACACTAGATTTGTTTCTAGTTCTGCATTTAGAATAAGATGTAGATGAACTAAACCTGGAGTAGTAAATGACCTGCAGTGATGGCGCTCTCGGCCCCCCCACTCTTGCCCACTGCCTGCCCTCCTCCCACTGCTGAGATGGCACCTGCTGTGTCGCCACTCTCGGGTATCTTGAACATTGACTGTCTATAGCTTGCACTTCTGTTCACTGGCATTGAGCTGGGAAGTGTCCTCCTGGGGATTCTTAGGTTCAAGGAACACAAAAGAACACTGTACAGTGGGCCCTTCATCCACACACGAACTTCCTGCTACCCACACCCTCTGTGCATGCCTTCCTGGGTCTGGAGAAGCCACCTGCTCACCTCTCTTCATCTGTGTTCACTGATGTCTTCAATACCCAGCTCTGAACAAGAGTTTCTGAAATAAAGTGTCACTCTGCATGATGACAACCAAAACTGGTTTTACACAGCTCTTAGAATGTAGCTACTTCCCATGTAACAATGCAGAGAGGTGGCACATGGTATGGGTCACTGAACATTTTATCACCTATCCAGTTTCAAATAAGCCACTAAGTTCTGCAGCATTGAACCATTTCTCTTAATATTCCTCTTGTAGTTACACGAGGGTTATATTGATAAAGAAACAGTCAATCCTTTTTCTTAAGACTTTTTCTTTATAACATATGGTATTCTTTTCTTCTTTCAATACAATACCAGCTGACACTCCTCTAAGCATCATTATGTAACAAAGGTAGCCCTAAGTGCTTGTTCAGATGAACTAACCTAACCCTCAGGCAGCCTAGTGTATGGTCAGGCAGCCGGTTGTCGTTATCATTTTCAGTGAACCCTGGAGGAAACCAACACTGAAAGTTGCATAAAGCACCCCAACTCTCTTCTCTAGAGAGCAATGGAGTTCAAATTAAAATTAAAATACTAATTTAACTAACCCTAAAGTCTATGTAGTTTTGAACTCAAAAATTAAAACATTAAAGAGCATTACCTAGTCCGAAGCCCTAGGTAAAGAAAGACATTTCAAACCTGCAAGGGGGAGAAACACCAAACAGAATGAAACAAGCAGTGGGACAAATACACACAGTGGTGTGTGTGTGAGATCACGGTGAGCACAGCAAGCTTCTCCCAAACACTGGGAAGTAAGGGGGCCACAGAAGGCACACCATTACCAGTCATGGGAAGAAGCAGGCTGAGTGGCAGGCACAGTCCTGGAGCGTGTCTGCCAACACTCAGCAGGACCTGCCGTATCTCTTCTCCCACTGAAGCGTGGGTCCAGCTGCCCAGGCTCTCATGTGATTCCTTGTCACCACGCTCTTTGCCTCATACCCAGGAGTCAGGGGAAGCTGAAGCATAGCCTAGTCTTTCCTCACTGACCCAATGCAGCATTCCAACAAAATCACACAATTTACTTGCTATTTAGACATATCAACAAGTCAAGAAGACAACCTTTCCCTAACACCCATCTGTGCACCATAAAGTCACAAGATGCAACATGCTTATCACTAGCATCCAAGTTTTTCTGTCAACACCCGAAATGCACACATCTTTCACAGAATACTCTATAAATAGCAGAGTACAGGAGCCCAGTGAACCTGGTGTTTACCACAACTCCCAAAACCTTGGTGACATAGTCACGTACATAAAAGCTTTCTCAGAGGCCCTGTGGCCCTTTTGTGCCTGAAGGCAAGGTCTAAAGGTTGATTTAACTCCTCAATACTGACCCACAGCACAGCTGCACATACCACTCAAAAGTAACCTCATGGGCCTGAGATTTAGCTCAGTGGCTCAAGGGCTTGCCTGGTAAGTCCAAGGTCGAGGGTTCAATTCCTGGTACCAAAAAAATTAAATAAATAAATAAATAAATAAATAAATAAATAACCTCATTAAAACTCCTAATTCAGAGCTCCATGTCTAGCCTTTCAGCAACTTAAAGACAGGCTATACAAAGAGAATTTGTTGCCTCTCCCATTAAACCTATGTCCTCAGTGAACACCATCAAAGTTGAGACCAAAGTTGGCCTGAATCCTAAGAGGCTTCTAAAATCCTCAGTATGCTCCCACCACCACCTACTCTTCCAGGCAATCATTTCCATTTCTTTTATGACTCCTAACAACTTTCTTACAGTTTCCCCACCAATCTTTTCTCCCCACAAGCCAGAACAGTCTTTCCTAAGAATAAGGTGACAGGGGCTGGGGATTTAGCTCAGCGGCATAAGCGCCTGCCTTGGAAGCAGGCAGTCGTGAGTTCGATCCCTGGTACCCATAAAAACGAAAAAGACGAAAAAAAAAAAGAATAAGGTGACAAGGTTTCACTAGCTTTAAAATTCTGAGGTGCTCACTACTTTCCATGGGATCAAATCTAATTCCTGACCTTGGCTCCCGGGCCCTGCTCTATCTGACTCCTGCCTACCCTTTTTTTAAAAATCCCCTTTACTCTTGCCAGACCAAGAACAGTCCAAACAAGTCTCACCTTCCTATGGCTCGCGCCGCTCCTTCTTCCTAGAATGTCTTTCTACCTGACACCCCGCACGGCTCAGCACAGGTGCCACTTTCCACAGGAAAGCCTCCATGGTGCCTTCAGCTAGATCTGTGCCTTACAGCAGCTGTCCCCACCTGCACTGCTACGGCACACATCACAGCACGTCATGCCGACAGTTTCCTTCAGTGTCTTTTCCGCTAACCTACCAGCTCATTTCTGAGCCCCCAGGGCCCAGGGAAAGGGTCAGCACACAGTGAATATTTGTCACATGACAGACAGAGCTTAGATTCCAAGTCCACCAGGCTGCAGCTCTTTGCCCTACCCAATACCCAGTGACTTACCAACACAATCGCAAGTGGGGAACTCGGCCTGGGCCCTCTTGGCAGGTGTGTCCAGCAGGCTCTTGGTAGGTGTGTCCAGGTACTTAAGAGGTGACTCCAAGAAGCCACTAAGGGTAGGTGTGAGTGGATTCTCGGCCTTGGTGGGTGTGGCCTCCTGGCCTCCTTCTTCTGAATGGAAGCAGGTGGTTGAGAGTACAGTCACAGCTCCTGAAGACTCAATCTTGATTTGCTTGGGGGAACGGGTAGCAAATGGGCTCTCCGGGGCTGGGAGACATGTCGGCTGGTTCTCGGGGTCCTGAATGGGCACAGAAGAGGGGCCAGGAAGCCCAAAGCTATCCCCAAATTCAGCCTCAAACTGCCGGATGAGCTCTTCCAGCTTGTCATCAGCAGGGGGAAGGGGGCCAGCGGAGCCTGGCTGCAGGGTGGCCATAGGGCTGGGGGACCTCATTTCCTGAGTAGGGGGCAGCAGGCTGTCCCCGGAGGGACTAGGTGCAAATAGCGCAAGAGAAGGTTCTGTGGGCAACGGGACAGCAGAGCCTTGTGAGGCGGGGAGAGGGAGAGGGATTGGGGCAGGGGCAGGGGCAGGGGCAGGGGCAGCTGCATGCGTCTGCCCTTCCTCAGAGGCGGGGGGCCTCAGCCCTTCCAGGACAATCTGTCGGAGAGGCAAGAAGAGGGGTTGCGCTTCCCGTGGCCTGGACTTCTTAATCTGAATGGGCTTTCGGACACTGGGCTTGATCCCAGGGGCAGCTTTGTCTGTTCCCACAAGACTTCCAGCTGGTGGGAGGGGCTTCTTCTTCTTCTCCTTGGGTGGTCTATCTGGAGGCCTTGGAGCAGGTGAGCTTGGTGGGGCCCACCAGCCAGGAGCAGGAGGCTCCCCAGGAGGACAAGAGGCATCACGGGACTGTTCTAGGAAGAGACTACGCTTATGGTGGAGGTGCTGCTGCAGAGCGGTCTGGGCCTTCTGGTGGGTGTCAGGCTCCGAGGCTGGTGTGGGAGTCTCCCTCTGGAGAATGGGGGATGAGGACGGGGCTGGGGAAGAGGAGGGTGCCTCAACTTTAATCTTGGGTTTCGTGGGCAGGGCCTCAGGCCTCTTAAATACTGACTGGATGTAATCACTGGCACTGCCCAATAACTGCTCCAGTTCAGCCATGGGGTCAGGGCTTGGGCGGGGCACTGGCCAGGAGTTTCGAGGTGTCGCTGGTGGGGTGTCAGTGCCCCAGGCTTCAGGAAACTCAGTTCTAGGAGGTGCTGAAGGGAAGGAAGGACTATCAGGAGGAAAAGATGGGTGCTCCTCAGAGGGAACCACAGGCCATGAAGGAGCCCGGAGGTAGGACTGGGGAGACCTGAAAGGGGCAGGAGGGGACAAAGCCTCAGGGAGGGGGCACGAAGCCTGGGAGGTGGAATGAGAAGGCTGGGGCAGTGTGGAGGAGAGCTGTGTGAGGGCCTCAATGGCAATAGCAGTCTGCAGGCTGATGTTCTTTTCCTTGGCGATGCTCAGGGCACTCTGGGACAGGGGCAGGTTCTCCAGGGGAGGTATCTGGGGGACCTCAGAGCTAAGAAGTGGCCTGGTACTTGGTGCTGGGAGGCCAGTCTCCCCAGAGGGCAGAGTCCCTGGGACCCTGGGCCGCTCCTGCCCTCCTTCCATGACCACAGACTTGATCTTCCCCTCCAGCCACTCGAGGTAGTCAGGGCATTCTGGGCCATCGCAGTTGCAGTTGGGTGGTTTCATGCCATGCCGTGCAAGGGCCAGGGCCGTCTGCAGCGTGTCAAGATCTTCACTGCCAGCAGAACAGCTCTCAGGCCCTGGCCGGGGGCCCCTGCTGTTATTCCCAGCCTCACGACTCATCTCACGGTTGAAGGTTTCATAGAGCCGGGTGCTAAGGGCCCCATAAGAGGACACAGCTTCGGCCACAGCCGAAAAGGCCACCAGATCGTGAGCATCTTCCAGGCGAGCAGTGTGAGCTGGGCCTGGGGCAGCGTCCCAGTCGGGCTTCTGGTCTACCCGCCAAGGACCTGCAGCCCCCAGCAGACTGGGTCCAGCGGGCTCTCTAGCACCATTGACCGGCGCCCCTGAGGTGCTTAGCTGCCGTGAGTCCCCATGGTACACTGGCCCTGAGTCCATCTGACCTGGAATAGGTCCATCAACTGGGCTGAGCTCTGAGCCTGTCTGGAGAGAGAGGGGAGAGGAAATAAATGGGGAAAAATGAACCACATTATTTGAAAAGCATCATCTTGCTTCACACCACTCTAAACCCTGTTTTTCTTGCAAATCTTCTCCCTGGTACTTTTTGAGCCTCTGCATTTTCCTGTGTCTCTATTCCTTAGCTAGCTTCACTAGCAAAAATGAAGAGACAGCTTCAAGATATCCTAATGTGGAGTTCTCAGTGTTGCTCAAGCCTCAAGAACTGCTGATCAATTACACTGACACAGCTCCACCAAAACCAACGACACCAAAAAGTGGGGGCGGGTGAGAGGGGTCCTTAACTCACTGTGAGTTCATAGTGACCAAAGTCACACTAGAACTATGTTTATCCAAGCCCAGCACATAACCATGTGCTGTAAGTGGGAAGTCTATGCGTGCAGGGGTCAAGAATGCTGCTTTCACAAACTCAACCTGGGACAGGTTCCCTTCTCTCCCCATTATTGGCCCTCTTTAGCCCAAACTAAGTGAGCTCAGAAAGGTGGTGACAGGTCACAAACCCCCACACAACCCTAGGCCTGAGGGAAACACTGATGATCCTACACAGTGCACGGTCAGCCTCATGCTGAGCCCGTAATGCTGACGATAAGCAAACTGCTTCTGGAGAAAAGATTTAGACCTTTACCCAAGCCCAGGACGCCCCATCACACACGTGAACTACAGAAGCACACGAAAGGGCAAGTATGACAGAAAGAGGCCAGGGAGGCCCCGCCTAGTAAGGCTAAGGCAAAGATATGACACTGAATTTATAAAACTCATCCTTCAGAAGCAATGACAGGTTTCAGAAGTCACAGTAGATGCTGCAAGCACTAGATGAAAGCCTCAAAGCATCTCCTATAGATTACTTTCAGTAAAAAGTTATAGTGGGAAAATCTAGCAGGGACCTCCTTAAATGAATGGCCAAAGTTATCACCAGTATTGGGACAAACCAACATCATATGGTCCTTGATATGATACACTACGTATGATATATACGGACTAGAATCTATTCATGAGGAAATGTCAGATAAACCCAAATTGCAGGGTATTCTAAGAAAGTGCCCAAAATGTTCTCAAAACCTCTTATATCTTATGAGACAAATGCTCAGAAGTCACATCATACACTAGGGGGAAAACAGCAATAAAGTGTATTATTGGGACAATTGGTGAAATTTCAGTATGGATGTGGACAAGATAATACTATGTCAATCTTTTTCTAGTTTTTTTGAGACGAGGTTTTGCTATGTAGTTCAGGCTGGCCTGGACTCACCATGCTGCCCAGGCTGGCCTCAAACACACAGTGATCCCCTTGTCTCAGCTTCCTGAGTGCTGGGGTGACAGGTGTACACTACCACTCCTGGCTTACTTAATCTGGACTTAAGTCATTAGATTATTGTTATATAACTGAATGTCCCTGCTCTATGACACACACAATGAAGTGTTTAAGGGCGAAAGGATTTATCGTCCCGGTGTCTTTTTAAACAGTTCTAAAAGAAATATGCGTATAGAAAAAATACAATATATGAGAAAATGATAAAGCAAATGAAGCAAAAACATAAACATTTGGGATAAAAAGAAGCTATTTCCTTTGACAAAGAATTTTAAACAGAGGCTAAAATGATGCTAGCCCCATAACTGTCAGCCATGGCCATCATGGGCTCCCAAAGCAGCAGTCAACATTGGACATGGGATCGGAGCGGTAGGAAATGAAGGTTCAGCTGCCAGGTCCTGCCTTATCCTCATCATTGCTCCTGTTTCAGACACAAAAGACCTTTATGCTTATCTAACAGGTCAAATTCTCCAACGTTACCAAGCTTTGTACATGCAGTTACCAGCCTTCCTAGCCACTGAGAGGGATCACTCTGCCTTATCCTTCAATCACCAGCTTAGTGTCACTTCCTCTTACCCAGGTGGCAAAGTTACCTACAGCTCCTTCTCTTGGATACTCATGGCACCTTTTACACCACAGTTCCTCCTCCCAGGTTCCCTGGCCCTTAGCACATGCCACAACTATTTCATATTCAAGTTACTACCTCTCTCACTAGGTACTAATTCCTGCAAAGTAATGTCCAAATCATAATGACTTCCATGCCTCCTGCCCATTGCTAGTGCAGTAACACACTCCGAGGACAATGTAAGGCCTCCAGTTCCCCACTGCCCATGGAATCATCCAGCCTCTCCCCACCCTTGTGGAAGACGACCTTTTAGACGCTTAGAAATACAGCTAATGACCCAACATTCCCTCCTTAAAAGCATACACTAAAGTGCCTAACAAAGATCACCAAATCTGAAGTGATCAAAATTTACATGCATGTGTAAAAGACAGAAAGGGCACGCATAACTAAGATGAAACATGAGAGTAGCATAAATTTACGAAAACAGTCTCAGAAAGACTAACGTTTCATGTGCTGAGGCTTCCCCAAAATGGTCAAAACAATTAAAAGGGATTTTTAAAGTTATTGGGTGTGTGAATAAGAGCAAGGAAGGGCTAGGCCAGCTTTGTGCCTGTGGATTCTCTGGGAAGGAAAATGCTTTCTGAAATCAATACAGAAGGGAGGCTGGGGATTTAGCTCAGCGGCATAAGCACCTGCCTTGCAAGCGCGTGGTTGTGAGTTCGATCCCTGGTACTGGTTTAAAAAAAAAAAAAGAAAGAAATACAGAAGGGAAAAGTAGATAGGGGTACATGAGGAAGGAAGCAAAACCAGCCTTGTACACCAAGAGATTTTAAGAAACCCTAGATTCCGGTTTTCCAGCAAAGGGATCCTACTGATACATTTCTCAACAGCTGCCAGTAATCCTAAAGTAAACTGGCCAGCAGGAGAAGCCCGAGGGCAAGCACCATCCCCAAACGTAGGGCTACAGCCCCAGTTAGGATTCCTGAAAGGACAGAGGAACCACAAGAAGTCAGGCTGACCATCAACCTGTCAACATCCAACCAGTCTCACTGATTTGCATCATGCGGTCAAGTCGACCAGCAGACAGAGACACCCTAGCTGACAGGTACAGGCCAAATCTGCCACAGATCTGTTTTGTTTGGCCTACACGGTGTTAATGCCTGATTTCCCAACATTCAAAAATAAAACTGCCTGTGAAATCTTGGTATTCTTGAAGGTTCTCTATTTCCATCTGGCAAATTTGTCTGTGACAGAGCAGTGGCTACCACTTATCCAGAACATAACTTTTCAAATTCATTTCCCAGTTCCGCCACTCCACTCTGCCTTCTTGAAATCAAATCTAGGAGTCAGAGATTACTTATTAATTGCTTGAATTAATTATCACTTCATTCACTTGTGTTACCTACCAAACCCCTGCAGGCCTTTTAGTTTGCAACTCAGTATGTAGATGTTCAAGTTTCATAAGATCTGCTATGACCTCTCTGAGGCCAGCCCCAGAGAATTCCAGGCTGTCAGGGCTGGCTGCCCACCCGGTAGGTGACCAGGCTCAAAAAGCACAAGTGGTGTTCCAAGTCCTGGGGGGAAAACTCTCTAGTGCTCTGCCGCTGGGCTTTGGTCTCACAACTATCCTGGTCAACGTATTTACAGAGAAGGGATACTTGTTAAATAGACAGTTTAAAAATAGTGATAAGACTATGCTGAGTGACAGCAGCAGGTGCTTCAAGGTCACACAGGCTGGATCGGGTGCCAAAAGATCAACCGGCTAGAAATGAAAAAAGTAACAGAGCAAACTGGGTCCCATACTAAGACCTCAAACTATGTCTGTGCAAATTAAAGATAGGAAAGGACCTAACAATGGCAGCAGTGGGCGTTTAAATTTTCAGGAATTAGATGGGATAGCGATAGGCAACTAACGGACAGTACATCCAGTATGATATGGTGTGACTGTTTCAAACTTTCTGACTACAATCCAAATTAAGAAGTACATTTTCCACTGTGTACTTCTAAATGACATTTAAAAAAATACTTCCTCTTACCAAATGAATATATTTTTCTTCTTTCCTTCCTTTCTTTATAAATGCAGGTTGCAGTCTTTCAAGATGATGTTGTTCTCAACTAAAGGGTCTCATAGTTGGACACATACAGCTATGACCTAAGCTGAACAGGACCCACAGCACAGGCAGCGACAGCACTGCTCTACCCAGACATCTCGCCTGAACACAGGCTTCCCCTTGGGGCCACATCTTTAGGGCACAATGAAAGCAGGTCAGCTTCAAACTTTAGAAGGGTGGCCCATAAATGTATACAAGAATAATTTGTCAACAGAAACAAACACTTCATACAAGAATTAGACTTGAATGACCCTTGAGATGAAATTAGAAAATGGGTAAAGCTGTAGACACTTGTAGTTTACTTAAGGGGAGAAAATTCTCTCTCTCTCTCTCTCTCTCTCTCTCTCTCTCTCTCTCTCTCTCTCTCTCTCTTTCAGTGACACTATATGACTCTAAAGGCTACATTAAAAAGCACAATACAACCTCCACCTGGTTCTCTTGGGAACATTCACTCACTGTAACCGTGCTGTGAAGGAGCCCAGGCCATGGGCAGCCTCCACGTAAGGAGCCAGCCAACATTCCCAACTTCGGTCCCAACCAACAGCTGCCATTATCTACCAAATATGTGGGTGAGGAGCCCTTTGAGGGTCTCAGCTCGGGCATCAAGTTACTTGGAGCTCTTAAGCCTTACCAGCTGACACCTTAAAGATCAAGTAATACAGACAAGTTACTCATCCTATGAAATTTCTGACTTGTTAATCCACAGACCACAATAAAATGGCTGGTGTTTTATGTCATTATAAATTGGGCTAGTTTATTACCCAGCAATAGTCCAGACTCTCTACTTCTTTTTTTGAAAGTTTATTAGTACATGCGTGTAGTACACCATGTTTACATTCCTTATGTGGAGCTGGTACATGTACATGACACATCTTAATTCCTGTTTTCATCCCTTTTTCCTTCCCCTCCTCCCTTCTCCCCTTTTTGGTCTATACTATACCCCTCGTGTGGAGCTGATCCATGTGTGTAACACACTCCAGTTCCTTTTTTTGGTCCCCTTCTTTCCCACTTCTCTACTAGCTCCCTCCATCTCTTGATTCTCTTTCCCTTTGAGAATGTGCGATCTTCCTAATTCCTATTATCTCTCTCTTATATGAAAAATGAAGACTCTATTTCAAGAACCTCAAGAAGATAAAGAAAGGGAAGGCAGTCTATAAACAAATGTCCTAAAGCGCATCAGTGCTGTGAAAGCAGGGCACACACGGGTGCGCCCATGGAACACAGGAGGAGTGTTAGTTCTCTCTGGACAAGTGCATAATTGGGTACATAGGTATCCAGAAACATTTCATGTCAAAGTTACCTGTAAGATGAGGCTGGAAAGACAGGTATTTGGAAGAGGAAAAAGAAGGAAGAATTCCACATGTAAAGGGCGCAAAATCATGGAAGGCTTGGGATGGGTAAACCTGGAGTGTTTCCTGATTCTGAAGTAGGACAAGGCAGGTGTGTGTGACCACAGCAAGACCAGAGTATTTTTACAGCCCAGGAGCAGCACTCAGGTATCCCTGCACTGCAGGCTGCAAGAGGGATTAGTGGAAGATTGAAAGGAAGTAAAACAATAAGGCAGAAAATATCCTCAGATTTAAGAAAAGATCTAACCCCTCTATTTTGAGCCGGTGAGATGTACATACGAACTGCCACTTGTGGTCAGAGTTCTTGCCTTCATAATACTTTACATTTCCTCCAGGGCTACAAGGACAGCTGCTGGAATCTGGCCCCGCACATTACCTCATCAGAACCTGTCAAGGTCCCATTGCTACCTCCTCTATAGCAAAATCTGTTGGCTCCCAAATCCCCATCACTAGTCCTCAGACACCTACAGGTATTCAACAGAGGCACATCCGTGAGGCTTGAGAATCCCCAAATGCACACAAGACTAGGAAAGCATGGAAATTCACCCTCAGACACTTCATTTCATCAACAACACAGGAAAAAGTGCAAAAATGACACCTGTTTTCCGAGTCTTTTCTGACTCTTAAGAGTATCAACTCATTGAAATCTACTAAAGGCAAACAGCTGAACACAGTGACACACACCCATAACCTCACCCACTTGGAAGCTTGAGGCAGGAAGACTGCAAGTTGAGGCCAGCCTGAGAAACTTAGCAAGAGTTGGTCTCAAACTAAAAAGAGGTGTGGATACAGATAAGAAGAGCACTTACGAGTACATGTGAGTGCCCTGAGTTCAAGCCTCAGCACCGTGGAGGGGAAAAAAAATAGGAGAAGATTAACAACATTATAGCAAATTCTTTGTTGACTATAGCTTCTTAGGGGCTCAATAAAAGGTCAATTTAGAAGAAGAATGGAGTCCAGAGAGCTGACTTGCTGACTGTCAACAGTTACACACCATCTGAAGAAACTTATTCAAGAAGATGTTTCCTGCCATAATGCAGTCTGTAGTCAGACTCTACCAGGCCAGTACCCTGTTCTCCTCAGTGGACTCTGCAGGACAGTGGTGGCTGCTTCCCTGCCAGCTGGCCAGTAAGTCCCACCTAGTACTTCTCAACCCTACACACTAGGTCTGTTCCACCAGCAGACATCTGAGGGCTTGAACTTTCCAGTTCCACAGTTCAGCATCCACCTCCAAGTGAAGCTAAAGTCTTCTTCCCTGCCCCAAAGGAATGGCCCTCCTCCCTCTGATCACACATGATGGGTATTTATGGCATGTTCTGTCTAGAGCTGATCAATTATTCATCTCTTAAGAGGATTCTATCCTCCTGGGATTTCCTTATGAAACCAATCTGTGAGTGAAGAGAAAGAGAGAGAGACTTTTTAGGAAGCCCTGACAGAGGATGGCACATGTGCCTGTTTTTGGAGACTAGGGCCTGTGTGTGTGTGCACATGTGCACACTGGCTAGCCCAACCCCACATGTGCATCCTCCACATCCCAACTGGCACTCAGCACACAAAAACCCCAAAGCTTCATGTCTAATTTCCTGAAACTGTATGTGTTGGCAGAGGGGGTTCTTGTGTGAGTTTGGGGGAAGAAGTGATTCTCAGAGCAATTGTATATGTATCAGTGGAACACTTAAAAATCTTACGTATTTTTTCCTATTACAAAGTAGATAAAACAGCTCTTAAAGTCGCTGGGTGATGCTCAGGAAAGTGCTAAAATGGGTCTAATTCCCTGAGGCCATCATACCCAGCAAAAGTACAGAACTATGACTATTTGTGCTCTCTGACCTAACAGTAATTAACGTAACTCCAAAGAAGAAAGGAAAAGAGGAGGAGGCACCAGGAAGTCTACACCACTCTGACAGAACACTGCGATAGCTGCCTGTTGTGCTAATTGTTCCATTTTCATTTATTTCATAACCATGAACTTCTACAAAACAGGTACCGTGGAGCTGGGTGTGGCAGCTCAGGCCTGCAATTCCAGTAGGTGGGAGGCTGAGGCAAGAGTCTGCAGCAAGGTCGGGGACAGCCTACGCTACACAGTGAGCTCAAGGCCAAGTGGACTGCACACTGGACCCTGTCTCAACCCCTCCTCCATTAGAACAAAAACAAAAACAAAAGACAGGAGCCACAGAGATTAATCAGATGAACACAGAGGTTAATCAGGATCCCCAAGATCACACGGCAATTCAGAAGAACACAACCATTTTTAACTACTAAATTCTCTAAATCTCACCTCAGGAAATTAAAAAATAAATACAGAAGAAATTAAAAAGCTACTGTGCCAAAGATTTTTCCTGAAGCATTAATAGAGAAGAACTATAAATAACCCAAGTATCTCAACAATAAGGAAGTTATTTTCAAGTGTTACACTTCATGAAAAGAAAACTGGGAATAAACATGAAAAATACTCAACTTCATTAGTAATCAAAGAAATACAAAATAAGACCACTTCATACTTATCAAACAGAACTTAAGAAGAACACCTAGTTTGAATCTTGTCCCCACCCCTTACAGTTGTGTATCATATTAAGCAAATTAGTTAATTTATGTCTCTATTTCTTCATTTGCAAATCAGAGATTAATGACAGCACAGGGACCACTCCTAACAATACTAGGTACTTACACGCACCCTGAAAAAGTATTTTACTTCAGCACCAAGTGCTGAGAAGGTTTAGCAGTAACTCTTCCTTATACATGGCGATAGTGTAAGTGCTCAACAGAATGGACAGTAGAGTATTGCACAGCAGTTAGAATGAATGAATTACGGGATCGTTAATCTCATACATTACTATGAGTTTTTAAAAAAAACACTTGTTCTGCTTATTCTAAAAAGCTCTAATGAACAAGCAAAATTAAATATATTAGGACTACAAGCATACATAATGAAAATTTTAAAAAGGAAAGATAAAAACAAATTCAAGACAATAGTTATCCCTGGAAGTGAAGTGGGAGAGTTGGCAGAAATTATCCCTGTGGTTTTAGTGATGTTGCCACATTCTAGTTAACTTGGGTAGAGTTTGTTTTTTAAAAAAAACTGTTATGCTTTAACTGTTTAAATGTCTAAAACACCAGAGCTAGTATACTTACGCACACATAAGAAAAACAATACAGTATTTCATTAGTAGATACACAATTGTTTAAAATTATAAAACAACAGGGACATAAAAATACAGGGAAATATATTAAATGAAAAAAGAAACAAGAATATACTTGTTGAGGTTTCCATAATGGGGGAAGTGAACACTATTTGAAACGGAGGAGAAAGGTTAAAAAATACTGCTCAGTTTAACAATTCCATTAATACACATCTAAGTGACACACATAAACACCACCGGAAACACAGAATGTGGCCAATACTTACCTCTGAGTAGTTGAGTATGGGTATATGTTCGAAGTCTCCACAATTTATTGTATTTCATTTTTATTCAGGGATAGGGTTTGAAAAGAACAGAGTACCTACAACCCAACTGAAACTTTGTGCAAACCGTGTGTGCCTGTGAACAAGACCAGCAGGGAACTTCTGGGCAGGAATGTGTGAGTTTTTTCCTTGCTATTTCTGTTGCTACAGAGTTGTTAGCTTTCCGACAAATGAGGCCACAGGCAGAGAGTAGGAAAATTGAGAAAATGTCTAAAAGACGAGGAGCATTCAGGAAGGGAAACAGCCGGGGTGAAGGAGCCTGAAATGCGCCACTCATTAAAGATCTGTGCAACTTGCTGTGCTAGCATCAGTCTCCCAAAGGCAAGCGCTCGCAGAACGGCCAGCTCCCGGCCGCAGAGCGCGGTGCACGGTCGGGCGGGGCCAGGGCGCACCCCGCAGAGCAGCTCCGCTCGCGGGGTCCCAGCCAGCCTCTGCGTCTGCAGCCAGCGCGCAGGATCCAGCTCTGCTGACGGAAGCCCCTGCCCGAAGCGTCGGTGGCAGCCGGGCCAGAGGCTAGCAGGGAGGAAATGGAGCCCGACCACATCTGAGGCCTGGCAAAATGCAGCAGCGGCTGCCTCTGAAGCCGCCAGCACCCGAGAACCAGGTCGTGACGCGCAGGCGGCTCCCCCGCCAGCCGCGACTCCCCCGACACGCGCGCGCGTGCACGCGGCCCGGCGGCCGCCGGGGCCCTGCGCCCAGCCACGCTGCGCACGTCCCGCTCAGCCGGGGCGGCCGGCGGCGGCTCGCGGGTGGCCCGCAGCCCCGCCCACTCGCTCTCACACCCTGCGCTCCCCGGCCCCTGCCCCCATCGGAAAGGCCAAGGAAACAAGCAAGCAAACACTGGAGCACCGCAGGCCCCTGACGGCCGGCCAGCCAGCCAGCCCTTGGCTAAAGGCCTCGTCCACTTTCCCTGAAGGGCCCCAAATCCCTCAAAGCCCAAGGGCAGCTCAGGTGTGTCACCGGGGCAGGGAGAGGAATGGGGAAGGCAGCAGCGGCGAGTTTTGAGTGCTGGCTGCAAACTCTGGCTTCAGAGAGCACCTCTGGGTTTAAATACGCCTTTCAACGCTTCCAACAACTCCACTTGCGTTTTATAGCACATGAGCAAATGAGGCACAGACAGGATAACCAATTCCAAGGCACGAAGATGGCCAGCGGCTGATGCCCATCATCAGGAGCCTGAAGTAGATACCGCGGTTTACCAGTTACCAAGGTTTTAATCTTTCCGTCTGCAGAGGGGCCCAATAATTACTAATAGATCGCAGCCTCTCCCTGGAACCCATCAAGTGAGGGTGCCCCCTGCTTATTACTTTCACAAGAGCACAAGGGTACGTAATTTTTTTTATTCCAAAATAGACACACACAAATCTTTAGCCAACTACTCAAAAATCTGGAGAAAAATTAATTTTTGGCAAAGAAGCATCCATTTATCAACCATAAGACTAACTTTACACACCGGGCTAAGAAAAGGGGCATAGCTGTCACTTGGAGAACCCTACTGCTGTCAGAAGCAGGAAATTAGGGAATATGATCCAGTTGTCTTATCCTAAACCTAAAGTCTTAAAAAAAAAATCACACATCTCATTGTAAAGCTACACTATCCATAGCCGTTGCTGGTAGACCAGATAACTAACTATAAGACATCAGTAGTTAAGGTCATGACTGCAATCACCTGAAAGTCCTGCCTGAAACAATGGAGAAAAAAGCAACAGAAACCTCAGTCCACCTCATGTGTTCTCTGATCTGGGGGTCTGGGGTGATAAGACCAGGGAATCCTGTCCCTCTGGCCTTGTGACAGATCATCCATGATCCAGACCACTGCCATGCCTCCTTCCCAGGGTTTCTGTGATCCTGCTAGATTCTGGTCCTCTGTTCACCTTCTCCATGCTCGCAAGAAGCTACTCTCCACCCTCTACCTCTCAGAGCTCCACACACCCTTTGGAAACCTCACATCATCCAACTTGCTGCTGCTCAGCCTATACAGTAACCCAAAAGCTTCCTCTTCCCTTAACTGCCCTCTAGCTACCTAATAGGATTTCACCCAGATGCAACTTAAGCCCACACATTTAAAACATATCTCAGCCCCTTCTCCCCTTTCCCTAGCAACTCCTCCTCTGGATATCCTTTAAAAACAAAAAGTCAAGAGCCATTGTTCTTGGCATGCGGGTTCAAACTTCCATCACTTTTTTTTTTTTTTTGTGGTACTGGGGATTGAACTCATGACCTCGTGCTTGCCAGGCAGGCACTTATGCCACTGAGTTAAATCCCCAGCCCTTCCATCACTTTCTATATCCGCCTCTTTATGTCTCCACAAAAAAAAAAAGGGTCCTATACCTGCTAAGTGCTCCTCTTGAGAGCATTTTAGATGTACCTTCTTTCAATTGGCTTTATCTCTTAATCTCTAGGACAACCACAGGAGAAGGTTCCATGACTGGTCACCCCACCTCTGTCTTCACCCCAGCACACCACCGGTAGACTGACACTCAATCTGCTGAGCCTAGAAACCATATCCCCAAGTCCCAGGCCAAGGTGCCCTCTAACGCTTAACTTCAACCTTCTCTTTTGATTCAGACAGTAAAAAATAAATGAACAGATCGATAAACAAATAAATGAACACATATATCAGAGACAATAAAGTCATTTCCATTCAATAGTGCTGTTCCTAGGAATCTAAGCTAATAGATTTACATTTATAAAAACTCTCCTACACATTAGTGCAAACCAAAAACTCAAATGTGAGGGGACTGTTTTGGTAGACTATGCTACAACTCAATGCAATATTATATACATATCAAAATCTTTAATTATAAGCACCAAGGAAAAAAGTATGTATGTTTACTTATTCATCCATTTACATATTCAACATTATTTTTGGCACTGGGGATGCAATGAGAAGGGAGCAGAGTCCTTGCCTCCTGATCAGGGACTTGCTAGGTGTTTAAATTAGTCTTAAATCTCACTGTAAAGTAAGTTCCTTTAACAATCTTACATCTTACCACCTTCACTAGAATGTTCGCAGCAGTATAAGCTTATGTCACATACTCTGCGGCTTTGAACATACAATGAAAGCAATGGAAACCCACACTAACTGTTAATTTATCTCAAGTGAAGTTGTCTTTTGTGTACTTACTGATAGAATATCAAAGGCATACTATAAACTCATTGCGGAGCCAGGGACACCCCAGGTGGGTGACCTAAGAAAATAAGGGAAGATCCTAAAAACAGAAAGATAAGGAAGAAAATGAACAGTTTCAGTAAAAGCTTCTCAGAGAGAAAGGAAAATAGAAGGCTCTTTTCACTGTAAAGTTAAAAATAAAGAAGTAAAAACAGTGTAAGACACCCACTGTCCACAGATGACTAATTTGTATTTGGCACTTTCTAAAAAACTTTGAACCATGCACTGACATGGCCACCCCACCTCTGAATATGAGTATGTTCAGTGGGTTTTTATATGATAATTTCTTCCCTTACTGTATCATAAGCATGTCCCCCTTTGTTAATTTTCAAGAATTTCATATTTAATAGCTGGCACTGTTCTCCCTGTGGTACACACAGCACACACAGAGACCAAGGTTGAATCTCTAGATTCTTTCATGGTTTGCTACATTTTCCTGGCACACACAGCCTGTCCACAGATCACCAGTTTGGTCATAATGTGGTTTCTTAGGTCCTGTGACATCTGTCTGGGCTTATGACTCTCCTATGGAAAGGGATAAACTAAGACAAACCTGAATGGATGGACTCTACTAGCCCCAAATGCTGTAGGATGACAACCTTGATAATAACAGTAGGAGTTTCACTCAGATTAACACAAGGGTTTCATGCTACTTGGGTGACAATTTTGAGGGCATGTCTCCAGAAAGCCCTGAGGACACCTGCCCCTCCGAGACTGTAGGAAAATAATGGTATCACCCATATCTGCTATTCCAGTGCCTCAGGCAACAGTAATGAGGCCTCCAAGGCCACTGTTTAAGAGACACCAGTCTAAGACATGCCAGTAGGGGACAGATAAGTAGACTAAGCACGGTCAGCAAGGTCTTGACCAATACTGCTAGACTCAAGGACCAGTGCTGCTCTGTAATCCCCATCAGTTTACCATAAGATAAGTATAAAGCTGAGAATAAGTATTAATTTTAGAACTTACACTACAGTTTGACATTGCCATGGTGTCTAAGCATGTGATCATTTTTCCAGTAATTCATTTTTACTGTATTTTACACAATGATCAGCCCCATGATGGATTAGAAATTTTAAAAACTGGAGAGGATGGTTAATGAGTATAGAAGTGCAACTGAACAGGAGTAATTTCTAATGTTCTATAACATAATAAGGTAACTGTGTACAGCCATTCATTGTACATTTCAAAATGGCTAGTAGAGATTCTCCCAACACAAAGGAAAAATAAATGTTAGCCAGGAACAATAGCTCAGATCTATAATCCCAGCACTATGGAAGGCTGAGGCAAGAGGATCACAAGTTTGGATTCAACACGTGCAACTCAATGACTTAGCAAATCCCTGTCTCAAAATAAAAATACAAAAGGGCAGTGGTAATATGGCTTAGTGTGAAAAGCTGGGTTCAGTCCTTATCCCCCAAAAAGATAGGTGATGGCTATCCTAACAATTCTGTTATTATTATACACTTTGCACATGTGCTGAAATGTCATACTCTGCCCCATGAATATGTACAATTATGTGTTAGCTAAAAATAAGAAAAACCTAATCCCTTACTGCAAATTCTTAAGAGCACAGATCATTTAAATATTAATATTAGCTAATTAATATAAATAATAAAAAGTTCTAGTAATCAAACTAGCTATCTTATTTAGTAAAACCATCTCAAAAACCTTACTAGGTTTTTGAGGAGAACCTTCAATATACTTCAGTAGAAGAGAACACACATTTTAGAAAATGCTACTTGGAAAACTACAGCAATATGCAACAGAATGAATTTGGATACCTGCTTTACCACACATAAAAATTTAGTCAAAATGGATCTAAGACCTAAACGTAAGAAGTAAAACTATGAAACTCTTAAAAACACAGGAATATACATTTTATATCTTATATCATCTAATACCGTATATTAGGTGCCAGTTTTTTAGTGTGGTGCCAGCAGAACAAAAGATAAACCATAGTTTACCAAAATTAAAAACACTTGCATTCCAAAGAACACTACCAACAAAGGAGACAACAAAAAACCCTGTATCTGGAAAAAGTATTTGCAAACTATGTAACTGTTAAGGGACTCCTGTCTGCATAGCAAACATAATTCAACAGTAAAAAGACAAGCCTATTTTAAAAATGGCTATGTTCACAAAAAAGAAAAAACTAGTATATGATCATTCCTGCCAGCATTATTCACATAACCAAAAAGTGTAAACAATCCAACTGCCCATCAACTGAATGAATACACAAAACATTTTCTGTTCACATAATGAAATATTAGGTAGGTATTAAAAGGAATGAAATATCGACACATGCTACATGGATGAACATTGAAAATATTGCAACGCTTAATAAATCAGACACAAAAAGCAACACACTATACAATTCCATAAACGAAAAGTTCAGATTAGGAAAATACATTGAAAAAGTTAATTAGTGGTTGCTAGGGGCTAAACGCTTTGGGGGAACCTAAGAGAGATGAATGTTATTTGCCATAAAGTTTCTTTTGGGGGTGATGTACATTTTACGAAATAGTGGTCTTGGTTATACAAAGATACACTGAATACACTAAAAATCACTGAACTGTACACTTTAAATGGGTGAATTATTAGTAACTTATATCTCAAGAATGTGATTTGAAAAGCTCTAAGGCAAACGCGGAAGCTGAATACTGCTCAAGGAGGGAGCGGCTGCGCTGGTGAGCTCGCTCTCAACAGCGGTAAAAGGAAAAGGACGAAGCAAAATCTAGAGCGGCAGGAAAAGCCGGTCTTTTGCTTTCTTCACAGACTCTCCTGGATTTCCCCCATTAAGTCATCAATGAAAGTGAAAACCGGAGTCCTATCCCAGGTGGTTCTTCTCCCATCAAAGACAAGGAGAGTCCCTCCCACACCTCTAGGCCAGGCTCTGAAAGGCAGAACACCCTGGGGTGCAGGGGGCGGCCCAGCAAGAATGTGTGTTAGGCAATAAGCTTGCCCTTTGGCAGTTGAATACAAATCATTTGTTGAAAACAACAATCTATGTCTTTAACGCCCACAATACTAGCAGGGTCTAGTACTCTAAGATAACCTAACAGTCAATTATCTGTTAGGCAACCCCCCAGATAATTGCAAACAACCACTCCTACTACCGCTGCTGTTGCTGGAGCAAGGACTCAGAGCGGGTGAGCTGGTGACCTGCTTGTTCTAGTCCTGCCTTGGAGGTATAGTTTAGCTGGAATACCTCAGAAGCCATCTGGCTGGAAATGAACAAGCTCCAGTCAAAGACCCCAAAGCTGTGGTAGGGTAGTTGTGTAGCCTGAGGACGTTACTCTTCAGAAAGCAACAGCTGTGCCACACCCTGGGTAGTGAGCACTCCCCCTGAACTGTTTTCTGGAAAGGCAGTGCAAAGCCCACTTTTAAACTCCTCTCTCTAGCTATGGTCTTGATCCAAGGCCAACACAAAACCAGCAGTGAAGGGGTGAGGTAGGGGCAATGCTGGACATTGCAAAGTGGAGGGGCAAAAGTGTGCCCAGAGAAGGCAGCTGCCTCAGGAGCTGGCCCTGATGCACCTCTCTGCCTGTGAACGAGTGACATAGACCTGGGTACTCTGGGTGCCCACAGGTCAGCCCTAATGGAGAGTATAGGTATCTATCCCCGTTTCTCTAGAACTGTCTTGCTACGTGCCCTAGGCAAGTTATTTTACCTATCGGGGACCAAATTCCTCATTAGCTTATTTTTTAATGTCCTTAAAAGCACTGACTCAGGGGAAAAAATGATAACCTGCCACAAATCAAAGGAGTCTTTTAAAAAAAACAAAGAACCACACCTCTAAATAGAGTAGGTAAATGAGTGTTTTCTCCCACAATAGTTGACAGCTGGTAAAATCTGCATGAAGGTCTGTCTGAAGATTTGTAAATTAGACTCCTACCCATATCTACATTGTACCCTGATTTTGATTATTACTCTGTGGTCACTTATGTAGTTTTAGAAAAATAAACACACCAAACTGTTTAAAAGTAAAGGGCATCGGACCTCCTAGTTTGCTGCCATGTGAATTACAAAAATTACAGAAAAATAAGGCTGGAGGGTGTAGTAGTAGGGGCACATTTCAATCTCAAGCCCCACCACCAAAAACTATGTACATATAAATATAAAATTAATTAATTTTGTATTTATCCCAGAAAGATTTTTTTTTAAAGGCAAATGTAGCAAAATGTTAACATTTGGGAATGTGGGTGAAAAGAATTTTTTGAAATAGTTTTCCTGGACATTCACTAAATCTTCCAGTTTCTGTGAAAGGCAACATCCCACACTCAGAGGATGAGGACGCAGGATAAAGCAGTCCCTGTCAGACGCTGTCAACGGCAGCGGGAGGACTCTGAAGGCAGGTCCTCTGAAGTCCCTGCTTAGACACTGAGGAACCCTCCTACTCCCACTGTTTGGAGTTCAGGGCACATTCAAAAGGATAGTGCCAGCAGTGCCACCAGGAGAAGCCTGGGGATTGGGACCTTCGCCCTCCTTCCCCTCTGCATTTTGTGTGCACCCCACATCCCTAACCTGAAGCTCGGGAGCAAGTACCCATGCACATACACATGCACACAGATGTTCCAGCCACAGACAAACAGGCCCACACAGAGCACAAGACTCACAGTGCCAAGCAACAGAGTCTGAGACAAGCAGGCCTCATCCTACTCTAATAGAGGCAGTAAGACATCTGGAAATCTTAAGCCTGTCTCCTAAACACAAGTAACTATAGCAATGGGGCAGAGGAGGGGATATCAAATGCACAACTATAGATCTAAAGATGAATTAGTATCAATGAGATCAACAGTTACAGAAAAGTTTATAATTTCATAAACTCTTGCTAAATAAAAAGGCAACTAAACTTTATATTGAGAGAATTAAAAAGAAAAGGAAAAAATGAATTATTTAAAGACAAAAATAGTCAATTACAAAACAAAATGTAGTAGCACTTATAAATGGAACCAGGAGATAGATCTCCAAAAGCCCAATAAAATAAACCTCTGACAGGATTAAAAAAAAAAAAAAAAGCAAAGCAAGCTGGGCATGGTAGTGGCCATCTGTAATTCCACCATTCTAGGAAGTTGGGCACAAAGATCACAAGTTCAAGCCCAGTCTGGGCAACTTAGCAAATCAGCCACATAAAACTTTGAAAAAATGAATGGATTACATTTTATGAAATTTTAAAATGAGATAGAAATAGCAAAAATATAAACCACCAGAAAAGAAACCTGCCAGAGAAGTAGCCACAAGCCTAACAGTTGAGTACACCTCTTTAGTTCTCCCAGGCCCCTCTGAGGTAAGCACTATGGTCTCCATCATATGTACAGACGAGGAGCCAGTGGCTCAGGACTCCTCCGCCAGACAGCCTGAGACTCAGGTAAGCAGCCTGACATAGCCAGAATGCCCAGAAAACTGAGTTCCAAAATGCTCAGCAGGCAGCTATGATGATCAGGCAAGTTTGCACACTTCTGGCTCCTTGCAACTCACAAAACAAACAAACAACACAAACTGCCAGCAGTATCCCCTAAGAACCTGTGAGGAGCAAAAATTTTTCTCAGGCCCCACCCCAGACCTAAACTAGAAAATGCACTGAACTTCTTCACGTTATTTGGGTAAAGAAAATGTGAAGAGAATACATCTGGCTCACACTTTCCCAGGTTCCCTTCAGTAGTTTCTCTTAAAATTTGCTACTATAATAGCTCATGTTCTATCTGGCACAACTGAGACAAAACAAAACAAGACAAAAACCTAACTGATCAACTGCTGAAGTGAAATGTGATCATCTGACCACATCTTAAAAGTTTGGCAAAATATAACCAAATAGTTAAAAGAACTTGCAATATCTGCCTAAATGTGACAACTGAAACCACTAATAAATGAAACTCTCACAAATGCTTAAGAAAATGCACATAAGAAAAAGAAAATCTGTGGATCATAACTAGTATAGCAATAAAAGATTTGTAGAGCAAGACCTTTTACACCATTTTTATCCCAATTAGAAAGTGGGTTGTTTTGTTTTGTTTTTGTTCTTCTGCCTCAGCCTCCTGAGTGCTGAGATTACAGGTGTGAGCCACCATGCCTGGCTAGAAAATATTTTTATAATAAATGCATTATTTTGATAAGTGAGTAAAAAAGACAGCAAAATGAAAATAATAATGTTAGAGACCAAAACATTAACAGGAGTTCTAAGTGAAAAAATTAAAGACTTTTAGAGTTTTCTGTTTGCTTAGCTGAATTTTCTGATTTTTCTGCAATTCACAGAATTTATAGTGGACAACAGCAAAAGTTTTATTGGAAATAGCCTAGTGTGGTGGTGCATGCCTGTAACCCCAGCACTGGGAGGCCAGCCTGGGCTATGTAGTGAGTTCAAGCCACACTAGACTGCGTAGCAAGTCCCTGTCTCAAAAAAAAAAAAAAGTTTGTTGAAATCAACAGCTTTTACATGTAATCTCCCTTGTTTTTTTATAAGCGTTTGCCTAACATCTGGCCTTTTCACAACCATCACAGCAATTAAAGACACAGCTTTTCAGTCCTGATTGTTTTTTGGGGAGCCCAAAGCAGCACAGCCCTCTTTTCCCAGACCAGTGGTTCTCAAACTGCAGCCAACACGGAACTCACCCTCAAGAAGCTGGTACAGGTGCGTTGCCAGGTCCCGCTGTCAGGCCCCGTTTGAGGGGACTGAATTCTAACACAATTGACCCTGTTAACTATCCTTTGAGCTCCCACCCAAACCCTGCTGGAGAGAAGGCAGGTGCAGACAAGAGGGAGAGGTGGGGGGGGGGGAGCCCCAAGTCGCTCAGAAGGTGGGTGATCCAGGATCTTAAAGGCACAGGATCTTGGAACCTCCCAGTGCACACATGAGCCTGTCAGGTCAGTGGTCAATGCCTCTGTCTTCAAAAGAGGACAACACATGGACAAGGCAGGTAGAGATAGGAACAGGTTCTGTCCAACACATGAGCTAAAGTCCTGAGCAACCCCTCACGGCAGCCTCACTGCTGGAATGCACTCGCTCCAGAAGAAGCACTTGGAATGACTCCAGGGGTTCATGGAGGTCCATCTGTCTTGGCACCCTGAGAAAGCAGCTCCTGCAGAGCTGGCAGGGCTACAGCCGTGGCTGCCAGGAGGGGCCCCTCTCTCAGCCCTGAAGCCACCTGGCACAAAGTGCTGCTCCCACCCCAGGTGGGCATTCTGGTCCAAGGAGATGCTGATGAGATGGAGTAGGGGCCCAGAGCAGTGTTTTCACTTCACTTCTCAACTTTTCTTGGCTGCACTCCTATTGTCTCTATACTCCTATTAAAACAAACCAGCAAAGGAGCTGGAAGAGTGGTTTCATCTCCTCCGCTGGCCTGAGCGTGAGGGATGAGTGAGACGGAGGGAGGGCGAGCCCAGACCACTAGCTAAATGCGTAACAGTTCACTGCACCAGTGAAGCAAAACAGGTGACATGCGACACACACCCTGACAGAAACTGGCTCTCGCTCACATTCTCCACTCCCACCTTCATTCTGTGCAAGTGTATAGACAGAAACCCTGACCCTGTTTAGGGACAGCGAGGATTCCCACTTCTCCAGGTCATTAGTACGCCTCCCTGACTGCCCGCTACAGGGAAGAGGATTCCCTCGCTTGTGTGTGCTAGTGAACCCAACCCTCCTAAACAGGCAGACGTCTCTATCCCCACCGTAGATTTTAGGGCAGCACAGCCTGAATGCCTGAGGGTCAGGGGAGAGGGAGCAGCGGCAAGCCCTGACAGCCTCCTCGAGAAACAGAGCCTTTTATCCCTAATTACTAATAAAAGCTTAACACACAAACATCATGGGAAGGACTAGCACCCTGATAGAAATAAACCTGGCCTAAGAAACATGCAAGGGACACAGACTCTAAAGGAGGACAGCAGCAGGAAGAAGAATGATACCTTGGTGCAAATGGAGACTGGGCTTGCAGGTCTGGAGCCAGCTTCACTGGTGATCTTTATAAGCTCTACTTCTAGAGCTTACTGAGTCCTCCTCCCCAAAGAGAACTTGCAGGTATGTTTGTTTGGTGCTATCTTCAGGTGTTTTGGGAACCAAAAAAAAGCAGCTCCCCTTCCCAGTTAATACTAATGAGGGTTAATGACAAGTGGGTTGTTAGTTCCAGGGTAATTATGAGGTGTGGGCTCCTCCCTGACATCTGCATGTGGGAAAATGGCCCAGGACTCCTTCCTGTGGGGGCAGGGAGAGTGCCCCATCTGTCATACAGATCGCAGCCTGCAGGCTTGGAGCCAGGGCTGTGTTGGGCTCCGCTTCTTATCTTGGCCCAAACTAGCACATAAAGCCTACTGTCCCTCTCACCAACATGATTCCACAAGTGTTTATTAAGAGGATTTACTGCATGTCAAGTTTTTGTGTCAGGTACTGATAAGACAATAAGATGATTAGATGAGCACCCCACCACTAGAAATCCATACCCAAGCACTACAGCACTACCACAGAGGCTCAAACAATGTGGCATGGGTACAGGACAGAGGGATAGGAGATGTCAGAGATGCTAGCATAGAGCAGATGACAAAAAAATAGCACTTCTAATGTGCACCCAGTAATTAAAAAATGCAATGGTCCAAGGTGTCACTGGTGCTGCAGCACTCGCCTGGCAAGCCAAGGACCTTGGTTCCATCTCCAGCAGCGGGTTTTAAGGGTGAGGGGTAGTGCAACAGAAACCCCATTCACAACTACAGAAACAAATATGACATGCCTGGGGATAAACTTAAAAGAGATGTGTAAACAAGCATATAAAAACACTGAACACTGATGGTCATCCAAAAAGGCTACAATAAATGGTAAGACATAGTTCTCTTTCTCTGAGTGGGAAGACTATATAAAGCTGTCCATCTCCCTTCCAGATCTATCCGATTTCAACTAAAAACACCCAACATTTCCCACAGAACTTGACAATTTATTCATAAGCACACTTGGAAAAAAAATGCAAAAACACAGCAAACAAATGTTGTACAGAAAAAATTAAGAAACTGGTATATGTATACTGTGGTAATTTAAAAAATGAAAAATTAGGCAAAAAAATTTATCCAAAGTAAAGAGAGGCCCTAGAACACCAATGAATATATAAGTCCTAATGAAATATTTAAAATAGAGTTCAAAACCACTAACGAAGCTATAAACATTAAATAGACGGTGACAATAGATTTTCTATTTGGGAAAAGTTCAATTCTTATCTTCTACCGTTTAAAAAAATATATACTCATGTTAGAGATCTGAATATATTAAATGAAACTATAAAATTTCAGAAGCCAAAATACAGATAATTCTGATTGTACAAAAATCAAATCTCTAAATGGTAAGACACACTGAAGAACAAACTAGAGACCAAACTATTTTCAAAATAAAACAGAAAGGGGAAGTAAAAAGAATTAAAATGTATTATGTACATGGACTAACTTCCCTCAATGAATACAATCATTATATACTGCTAATATGTATTTAAAAAAATTTTTAAAGCATTAGCTACAGGTATATACACGCATATACAAGGACCTGGGCCAAAAATACAGCAGAAAAAATACATATAACAGAAATCAATATCAATGTAGTAAGAATTTCTGTGAATCAATAAACTTAAGTAATAGATAATAGGTAATACACAGAATACAATGGCTAACATTTTAAAACATTCTCAACCTTACTAATTAGATAAATTAAAATGAGATTTATTACCTATCAAAATAGTAAAAATTAAGGGCTGATAATCATTCAGTGTTGGTGGGACAGTAAGCTTGGGTTTTTTATTTTGGTTTGGTTTTTTGAGACAGGGTCTCACTATGTAGTTTAGGCTGGCCTTGAACTCACTCTGGAGCCCTTGAACTCATGGTGATCCTGGTCCCTCAGCCTCCAGTGCTGGGACTACAAGACATGGACCACCATGCCCTGTGGGAGAGTTAATTTGAAAGGAATCAAACTACCTTTAGCAAGGGTAACAATATGATTTCAATTGCATGATTTTGTTCTGTTAAAGCATTTGGACAAATAACAAAAAACCTATTTACAACTAGGCTCATCATCTCATGATTTATAACTGCAAAAAAATTAGAACTATGAACATTCATCAATGAAGATTTTTTTAAGTTATAATATATCTATTAGCTACTCTACAGCCATCTAAAGACTAAGACAGACATACTGACATGGAAAGACATCTTTGACATATTAATAAGTGAATAAAAAGTTCATGTATTCATTTTAAAGTCTGGAAAGATAGGTATAAATTGTTAGTATTTATACAGTACTGGACTAAAAAAAATTCAGTTTCCACCTAAGTACTTTTGTATAATTTGATTTAAAAATATTACTTTTAAAATTCAAAAGTATTCTCATTTTGGAATCACAAAGAACAGTATGTGTATAGATTTCTAGGCTGAACTCAAAAGTCCATCCATTCTCCATCCCCTTTCTCTAACCTCCTCTGCCCTCTATGGTTACTCCTTAGAGAGTCAGGATAAAAGGCAAGGAAAATCTGTCCCCAAGGTATTATACCTTCTTCCTTGGCCAAGTCATTTTTCCTGTTCAAGAAAAATTCAGGATCATAATAGGCCCTGATGGACCCAGAGAGAGGAGACAACCTTTACACTGTGGGTCACCTGCCTGGTAGCCTGGGCTCTAGGACAGGAATATAGAAATGGATCTGCAGTAAAACTGGGGGTGGTACCCAAGAGGTGTCCACCTTGTTTTCTATGGTCCTCAAGAAAGTGTCCTAGGATACCGATTGTATCGTATTTTCTAGAGGTTTATGAAGGAAGCAGGGAGCAAGACCACCCTGCAGCCTAGTCCATCTCAGACATGAGCTCTAGGTCAAATTATTTTGTTTTCCCTCTTTCCTTCTTAACTGCTACGTTCATTACCTCTAAACCTAATAGATAAGGCTTTTCTAAATGCTGTCACCAAAACATTCCCATGGGTTTAGGATATGCACTAGTTCTAGGCATTAAATTGAAGCAGATTTTGCTTTGGTTAACAAGATCTCTACAGGTCCTAGTTACAGAGCTGGCAAGCTACTACTAGGGTCCTCACCTGGAGGTTTGAGACAAATCAATAGCTACACTGTCTGGGCTGCCACTGTTCCAACTACAGGGATTCTCCGCAAGCTCCCACTGGGACGAGGTGGTCAGGCTGAACAGGGACTTGGTATTCACACACTGATCTCTCTCCAAAACTCCAACAGGCATAAATTATTAAAGATCTAATGAAGGAGACCACAGTCAGACTAAATGTGTTTGTTATTTAAAAAAAAATGCAAAAAGTGTCCAAGAATCAAACTGAAAATCTAGAAAAAAAGACATACTGAATAAACCGAAGGAAAAGACTATTTAAAACTAAAGGAGAGGCCTGGGATTTAGCTCAGTGGCATAAGTGCCTGCTTGGCAAATGTGAGGTCATGAGTTCAATCCCCAGCACAAAAAAAAAAAAAAAAAATGCTTATAAAACTAAAGGAGAAATACTTTAGAAAATAGCAAAACTGACAAATTTATGTACTTTTAAATAATGTATAATAGAAATGCAGAAAGTAACAATCACAATATTGAAGGAATTGAAAAGCAATTAACTGCATATACATTAACTAATAATTTGAAAACGGACCACTTTCATGGAAAATACAAAGTAAACATTTTATACCAATAGCTATAGGAAGGGTGAAAAAAAACAGAAAGATGCAAAGATCCATCCCTCAAAAAGATACCAGGCTCAGATAGTTCTGTCAGATGGAATTATCAGTTAAACTACATTGCTTATATTGCACCAGGGCATGAAGAACAAAAGTTTCACAACCTATTATATGAAGTTACTATTTTTCTGATACCAACATCTGACAATAAAACACAACAGGAAAAATCACAAGCCAATTTCACTCACAAATACAAATGGAAAGTTCACATGTTAATAAGTCAAATAGTATGTAAGAAAAAAACCATTACTATATGTTACACTCAAAGAAAGTTCAATATTAAGAAATACTAACACAATTTTATTTTATCAACAGGCAAAGGAGAGAAACGCTATTTGATCTTCAAACCATGCTAAATACATGGGACAAAATGAAACACTGTTTACACAAAAAAACACTTCCTACTAAAATGGAATGATATAATTTAACATAATATACAAGAAATCAAACAGCAATCACAAAAGCTCAATCAGCAACACCATGTTTAAGAATAAAATGCCAAGTCGTTCACATTAAAGTGGAAAAAAAAAAAATCACTGAAGAGAAAGATGTTCTCTACCCATTAAATACGTGGCAAATACACTTAACAGGGAAAGACAGACATCCCTCACCTCAACCCCAACTCCAGGGGCACTTGGTCAAGCACCTGCCTGATTCTCAGCCTCCTTATCTGAATGAAAGTAGGGGTACCACCACCTGCCCAGAGCTGTCATGAGAACTAAGGGAGAGAACTATGCAAACATTCCTCACATGTCCACCTTGCTCAATAAATAAATGACACTGACTAGTTGCGATATAGGTTAAGTGTGCTATACTATAGCAAAACTATTTTTATAAACAACATTACACAGGTATACAGTAGTGCAGAGAATAAAGTCTAGACAAGTTCTTTAGCTAACAGTGACTAATTGGATTGTGAAATTCTGGGCAAATTTCCTCGCTTCCATCTATGCCTATTTTCTATCTTTTTTTTTTCAAACAATATATATTACCTGTATCATCAAGGAAGAGAAAAAAGGCAGAAAAAAGGAAAAAGGATTGATTTTGGATTTATTCAGGACTGGAAACACACGCCTATGGGCCGAGGCAGGAAAGGATCTAAAAGGGATAATAAAGAGGCCAGTACAGAAGAGGGGTTTGCAGAGTACCCACTGCCCGCCCCACCCTGGGTCCTACCACAGTGACACCCGCTCCTTCTAGGAGACCCATATAGGTGTGTGAAGTGTTTAAATGTATGGGCAAAGCTCAGTCTAGCACTCTCCAGACCCAAAGCCATCCTACATTGCTGTAGCTAACCTGATTTCAAATGCCATAGAAATTCTGGGCACCAGGAACAGGGTAAGCGCCTAAGAGCTGGTCACACAGCTGTGCTTATGAAAATTCACCGTATTGTACACTGGATGTGCTTCTCCACCATCTATATTCTATTCTTCAATTTAAAGTCTTTCCAAATTAAAAGCTGAGAGGAGAAAAATAAAGTTTCTACCATCAGCTACAGAATTTGCCTCTGGAATTCAGTTTTAATTAATTAGGAACTCATGCGTTAGTCTCATGGAACAGAACATGAATCCATGTGAGATATCTGTCTTAACTTTTCTAGACATTGTATTATCACTAAGCTAAGAAGACGCAGCAAGAGCCAAACTAGACAAGCCAGCTGCTTTCAACCCTGACTGCATGTTCTAATTAACTGGGGAGCCTTGAAAAATGTTGGGGGTGCAGCTCTACTACCGACCAATGACAATTGGCTCTACGGGCTGGGCCCAGGCACTGATGCTCTTTTTTGGGGGTCGGGGGGTAGATAACTGAGGAAGTGAATCCCAGGCCTTCACATTGAGCTATAGCCTTTTTAAAAATTTTTTATTTTGGGACACCTGGCTGGTATTTTCTTCTTTAAAAAGCTCCTCAGATGTGTCCAATATGCACCGGGGGCTGAGAATCACTAAACTAGTTGAACCAGAGGGACTGGTCACTGGAAATTCTCAGGCAAGTTGAAGCATAGTTCCTGCTCGTCCTGGTGGAAGCTGTGGGGTGGGAATATTTAGGGTTGAAGTGCTCTGGCATCCACCCAGATCCTCCTCCACATCCCTCTTCCTCCAGATCTGAGGCAGAGGCCCATTGGAAAGCAATGCCCCTCACATGGAGGGCATAGCATCTGCAAAGTGAAGGGGAAGAGTTCTCTCAGACTGGAAACAAACTCTGGGTTCTGGCTCTTTGCCGTGCTGTTCAGATTGCTCTGGACCACTTGCCAGGACAGTCCCAAGACACACGCCACTCCAACCACACAACCCCAGAACTAAGCCCTAAATACTACCCAGGGTCCAAATGACACCTCTGGGAACCCACAGCTGGAAAACAGGAAACCAAGGACAAATAATAGCAGAAGGAAAGGGCACAGTGCAAAGGTTAGCACAGAACTCAACTATCATGCAGGATTCTGCTCAGGGACAAATGGCAGGCCAGGCAAGAAGGGAACACCACATGGCCCAACCGTCCAGAGCTCTTAGCACTGATATCTGGGGCTCCTGCATCACATCTGGTGTCTGTTCTACCTAACTGTACCACAGGAGCCCACGGTTTGGACCCAGCAG